ATCATCATCATCATCATCATCATCATCATCATCAGTGGAAGCATCATCATCATCATCAGCAGCATCATCATCAGCATCAGCATAATCAGCATCAGCATCATCATCATCATGATCAGCATCACCATCTGCATCAGCATGATCACCATCAGCATCAGCATCAGCATCATCATCAGCAGCAGAATCCGCGTCGTCGTCGACAGCAGCAGCATCGTTGTCATCATCGTCAGCATCGTAATCGTCGTCGTTGTCATAATCACCATCACCTCCAACATCGTCATTGCCATCGTCATCGTCATCGTCACTGGCGTCGTGCTGGTCATCGTCGGCAGCATCGGCATCATCCGCGTCGTCATCATCATCATCATCATCATCATCAGCATCATCATCAGCAGCATCATCAGCATCGTAATCATCGCCGTCGTCGCCGTCGGCTTCGTCATCAGCCTCGTCATCATTATCCGCCGCAACATCGTCGTCATCATCAGCATGCTCATCATAATCAGCATCAGCAGCAGCATCATCATCATGAGCATCATGATCAGCATCATCATCATCATCAGCATCATCATTATCATCCTCAGCAGCATCATCAGCAGCAGCATTATCAGCATCGACATCATCGTCATCACAAGTATCAGCATCCGCATCATGACGATCATCATCAGCAGCATCAGTATCATCGTCGTCAACATCATCACCATCAGCACCATCGGCATCGTCATCCTCGTGATCAGCATCAACAGCACCTCAAGCATTAGCGTCATTACCATCAGCGTCAGCATCATCAGCCGCATCATCACCAGCAGCAGCACCAATAGCAGCCTCATCATAATCATCAGCACCATCAGTATCATCATCATCATCATCATCATCAGCATCATCAGCATCAGCATCATCAGCATCGTCATCATGGACAGCGGCAGCAACAGCAGTAGCCACCTCATCATCAGCAGCATCATCAGCAGCATCATCACCATCAGTATCATCATCATCAGCATCAGCATCATCCTCATCAGCAGCAACATGAAAATCATGATCATCGGTATCGTCATCGGCATCGGCATCGTCATCGTCGTCGTCATCATCCGCAAACCTCCTCCTCCTCCGCCGCCTCCTCCTCCTCATCGTCCACCGCCTCCTCATATGATTTTGTCATCCCCCTCCTCCGCCACCTCCTCCTCTTCCTCCTCATGCTCCTACTCTTCCTCCTCCTCCTCCTCCTCCTCCTCCTCCTCCTCCTCCTCCTCTCCTCCTCCTCCTCCTCCTCCTCCTCCACCTCCTCCTCCTCCTCGGTCTCCTCCTCATCCTTCTCCTCCTCCGCATTCTCTTTATAGTCCTCCTCCTGCTCCTGACTCTCCCTCCTCCTCATCGTCCTTCTCCTCGCCGACCATCTCCACTCCTCCGCCACCCTCCCCTCTATCCCGTCGTGTTAGCCGCGTTGAACCGTGTTCCCTCTTGGGGGCGTGGCCGAATCGGCCAGACCTCTCGATCCAGTGCGGGGCTCCTCCCCCCCCTCCTGCAGTATCCCAGGGGGGCCACTGTTGGGCTCCGCATGTATGCGTTTCGAGATGGTCCTCGAGCCGATCCTTGAGGCATACCTATCGGTCAAGTTGGATTTCAATGCGGCACGGTGTGTTGGGAAGAAAGACCGAAGCCCCAGGTCCTCACCACGATCCTTGAGTTGGCCCGGGCGAGGTGTTCGGAGTCCAGGCAACCATGGATGGCTGCGGCGTCGCCTGCTGATGTGTATCACCTAATGGTGCTGGGCATGGGCTGGGGCACTCCTTCGGCCCAGGCCCTCAGGAGCGCTCTCGGTGAAGTTCTAAGTCTCGTGCGTCTGAACCCCGCAGCAGTGAAACTTCTTGCCGAGAAAGGAGTGAGGCGTGAGCCTGACCAACAGGCGCTCAGAGGGCGACTTCGAGTCTGTGTGTAGCCCGTGTTCTGGTGTAGTGCAGGTTCTCTCTAGCACGAGACCTCGCCCAGCTGGTCGCCTCACCAGCAGCGGGCCCGTAGGGCTCGCACTTCTGGAGTCCGGTGCTCCCAGGTCCGAGTGCACAAGCATGGGCTCTCAGATTATGCCGCTTGAGCTTTGTGCAGCCACCCTGATGGGCCCCTGCGGCGTCGACTCTGAATATGGCGCGCACACGTGCCTTCAGAGAGGCCACGTGCCTCCAGGGCTGCTTCGCAGGGCCCGTAAAGTGAAAGCATGGAGTCTCGAGGCTGTGTGAACTTTCTGCGCGGAGGATCTTCCCCGACGCCAGCCTAATTGTTTTTTGGGGGCTGCCGCAGGAGGCCGAGGTCCAACAGGCGGTGCTGTGGTACCAGCGGCCTGCGTCAGGCGACCTCTCTGGCCCTTTGTGTCTGGACGGATGGCCAGGGCATCGTAGCCACTCTCCGGGCGGGCGCTCCTGACTGCCCACCAGACCACCCCAACCCAACCCGAAGACCCGAATTTCGGGTGGGGGGGGTAAGGGTTCCACATGTGTTTTTTCGATGTTTCCCGAACCCCCCCCCACTGGAAATCGAGGGAAAATCTCAGCCTTCGGGTTGGGTTGGGGTGGTTTGGTGGGTGGTGAGCTCCTGCGGGGGGCGGGGGCGAGCAACCCTCGGGCCCACGTGCGGGCCCCACGTGGGCCCCCTGTTGGGCGGCGCTCCTGCCCAGCGGCTCCTCGGCCAACAAGCCGAGGAGCCCAGTGCCGCACAGCTGGCGTGGGGACTGATCGCACCGCGCTCTGCGGCAGCGACGCTGCAGACGAGTTCGCGAAGCGTGGTGCCGCCTTCCGCTCGGCAGCAGGGCAAGGGCTGCTAAATCCGTGGCTGCTCAAATCGACCTCCGGGAAGTTGTCTTCGTCCATCCGGGAAGAAGCCCGTCGACTGTTTCGCGTGCCGCGCCTCATTCCGGGAGGCTGTTTTTTCCGTCCGGGAGGGCCGTTTTAGCAGCCACGGTTTCAGCAGCCATCGCCCAGCTTCCCATCCGCGGAGTGGGGGAGAGCGGGTGGCACGCCTGGCGGGGCCTGGCCGAGGCTTCCCGCGAGGCTGGGCGGTGGGGTGGGCGCCTGGCGCGGGCCAGCGGGTGACGGGGAGGCCCCCGCAGGACCGCCCCTGGCCCCGTGGAGCTGCACGCTGCTCGCCGCGGCGGGCGCCGACGGGGCGCCGCCAGACCCGCAGCTGCAGGCCCCGCCCGATGCAGAGCCAGCGTCGAGGGGCGACGGCGCTTGCCTGCTTCAGCCGCCCGCGGAAGGGTTCGGGGCTTGCCGTGGCATAGGCTATCGTTTCAACGGCCGCCCGCTGCTGCACGCGCGCGCGCGCGTGTGCCAGGTCGGGTCGGGACGATGGCAAGGCCATCAAGTTCTGCTGCGCTCGTGGGGCACCCTTCAGCGTGGAGCGACCCTCTCGTGCCCTTTACCGCCCGTATATCCGCGAGCACGCGGCCTCGGGCCTGAGAGCGCAGCTCCATCGGATCAAGGCTGGCATGTACCCTAATTGCAAGGGGGCCCGTAGAACCTTAGGTTGGAGACCCCCCTAAGGCGTCGGTATGCTGTGCGCGTGCGAATGGCTGCCTTCCTTGGCTCTAGCGAGCCTGCCCCCATCGCCTCGGCTCGGGACGCGGGGGAGGTGGGGCTGTGGGGTGTGGGCACCTGTGGGGGGTGGGGGGGGGCGGCGACGTCCCGAGCCGAGGTACTGAGGGCTGTCCGTCTGGAGGAGGAGGAGGAGGAGGAGGAGGAGGAGGAGGAGAGAGGAGGAGGAGAGAGGAGGAGGAGGAGGAGGAAGAGGAGGAGGAGGAGGAGGAGGAGGAGGAGGAGGAGGAGGGAAGGAGGAGGAGGAGGTAGGAGGAGGAGGAGGAGGAGGGAGGGGGAGGAGGAGGAGGAGGAGGAGGAGGAGGAGGAGGAGGAGGGAAGGAGGAGGAGGAGGAGGGAGAGCTCCCCGCCGTCCGTGCGGAAGGAGCGAGGCGCCTCCAGGAGGAAGCCGAGGGAGGGGCCAGGCGAGGCCCGCGGCGAGCTCGGGGAGGCCGCGTCGCGGGCCTCTGACGGCGGGGCCGGCGCAGCCCGACCGAACCCGGTTCCAGGCCGCTGGCTCACCTCAGCTCAATCACAGCACCTCCTCCCCCTCCTCCTCATCCCCATCCCCATCGTATGATTGTGAGCATGATTACTATGAGTGGCATTGTGGCCGCAGCCGTAGTATGAATGCTACTGTTCGCAGTATTGCAATTATGCTTCATCGTAGGAGTAACGTTCTTCGTAGCATGAAAGATCATAGGTGTCGCATCGTTAGTAGTAGCATCGTATTGACAGTACTAACACTGATAGTATTAATAGTTTCCGTGCCCGTACTATTACTATTAGTAACAGTAGAACTCTTACGCGTACTAGAATTACTGTGTATATTGGCAGTCGTCCGTATTACTAGTACGACTCGTAGCATTACCCCTAGTACTCTCAACAGTAGTGTTGGTATGTTTAGTATTACAATCAGTGTTGTCAGTATTAGTGGTGCGACCATTATTATTGACATGTTTAACCGCAGGGCCGCCCTTTATAAAATGATCCCCCATAGTAGCATTAATAGTAGCATGGTTTTGTTAGCATGACGAATCATGATACTACTACTAGCAACATTAGTACAATCAGCATTAGCTGTATCATTGAAATTAGTACGCTTAGTCTGATTACTAGAATTAACTGTCTGAGTATTAGTAAAACCATTATTAGTGTTACTCTTAGTATGTATCAACAGCATTGCCATCATTTGTCGTGCTACTAATATTCGTAGTCTCCCCAAAATTACTATGCTGCTTCGTCCGAGTAGTCTTATCCTTAGTACTGGTAGTCATCCTCCTCCGCCTCCACCGCCTCCTCCTCTTCCTCCTCCTCCTCCTCCTCATCCTTCTCCTCCGCCTCCTCCTCCTCGTCCTCCTCTTCGCTCCTCCTCCCCGCTCCTCCTCGCTCCGGCGCGCTCCTCCCCGCTCCTGCCCGGCGGCCGCACCGGCGGCCGACGGCCTTCAGCGTCAGCCCGTACAGCTCCAGCACCACGCTCCCGCTCGGCTGCAGCGGCGCGCGCGCGCGCCAGCTGCGGCGGTCGGCCCCTCCGCCGGCGTTCGGGCTCCGCCCGCCACCCCCCCCCCCCCTTCGAGCTCTGCCCCCCCCTCCCCCTCCCACGGGGAGAGGGGAGGGGGGAAAGGGGGGGTGCGAGGGGGAGAAGCGAGGAGGAGGAGGAGGAGGAGGGGGAGGAGGAGGGGGAGGAGGGGGGGAGGAGCGAGAAGCAGGAGGAGGAAGAGGAGGAGGAGGTGACGGAAGAAGGGGGGTGGGCGGGGGGGGAGGAGGAACATATATTTGGGAGTTCTTGGCCCTCTGGGGCCTCCCGATGCCTTCGGGGACGCGGGGGCCTCTGGAGACCTCCAGGGCCCCACTGCGAGCGACCAAAGAAGAACATAATGGAATGGACCAGAACGGAACGGAATGGGGCAAAACAAAACGGAACGGAATGCAATAAGTTGGAAGAGGGAGGGAGGAGCAGCAGGAGAAGGAAGAGGAGGAAGAGGAACAGCAGCAGTAGCAGGAGACTAATGAAAAGATCGGTGGAGGCGACGGATGGGGAAGGGTAGAAAGAGGAGGAGGAGGAGGGAGAAGAGGAGGGGGGAAACAGATACATACACACACACACACACCTCGATACACACATATATATATATACACATATACACATATACATATACATGTATACACACATACCTCCCTTTCCCTCTCCGCCGCTCTCCCGTATCTGGAACGGCAAGATCTTCGCCAGTGTACATGACTTAGCCGCTGCACAACACAGGCCCAATGAGACAGCCAAAGACGCGACCGATGCTCGTGTGCCGTTGCCCGGGTGCCGTTGCCCGTGTGCCGTTGCCGTGTGCTCACCGCTGTCCACGTGCAGCACGGGCCCATGCGCGCAGCCCGGTGCTGGAACCACGCAGGTTCCAAGCACGTGTTGAAAAGGTAAAACTGGTGCGGCCCCAATGAGGGGCACTGAGTTCTGCTGAATGCACACGTGGACAGTACGATAAAATGATGCGCAACGCAATGCGGTAGCATGCACTGCAAAGCATCGAGCAGCGTAATGAAGCAAAGCGAAGCCTGGAATAACACGGTACGGCAGCATTGCATGGCGCTGAACATAACAGCTAGGGGGAATGTCACGTGTATCAACGCGATCAGATCGTAATTCAAACCACTGGCTGCGCTGGCTGCAATGTATGTGAGAAGAGCTGTGTGAAGAGTGTGTTTGCATCGCGTACGTGGAGAATGGGATCGACTTAGATGTATGGGAGGAGGAGGAGAGAACTGGGGAGTGCGGTCGATACGGTGCTGGTAACTGGCGATACGGAGTAGGGAATGTGGTTCGCTCTGCCTGCCAATTTCGGTCCATGGGAGGAGGATGAGGAGGAGCAAATGTGTGGGGAGTGCATTCACGAATGTGCAAGATGGCATGAGCATGTGGGGGAGAAGGGGAGGAGCAAGAAGAGGCGAAGCAGGAAGAGGACAAAGGAGAAGAAGTAGTGGGGATTCAATCTTGTCAGGAGTACTTTGTCTGGTGCATTAGAGATCCCCGAGGGCCTCTCAGAAGGCTCTGAATCATGGACACGCTAAGCCAAAGTTCCCGACCAGGTGTTACATACATACATATACATATACATATACATATGTACAGCCTCGGGGGCAGCGGGGTGCCCGCGGAGGGAGAGCGCCAAGACGCCCCAGGCGGACCCCGAGCCGCCAGGGACGAGCGCAGCCAGCCCGGGCGGCGCAGCTGGCCTGGCAGCGGCGGCGGCCGCGGCCCCCGCGGAGGCCGCGGCCGCCAACCAGGCCGAGGGCGCGGAGCCCTCGGCCGCACCAGCGGCGACGGCGACGGCGGCCGCGTCCGCGACGAGACGGGCCGCGGCGGCCAGGGCCGCCGAGAAGGCAGCAGCGGCCGCAGCCGGCGGCGCGGCCGGAGGCAGGGCCGCGGCGGCGACGGCCGCGGCCGCGTCGGCGCCGCCCTGGCAGCGCAGCCGAAGGCCGCGGCCGCGGCGCCGCCAGCGGCGCCGGCGGCGTGAGCAGCACGCGCGGCGGCTGCCGCGGCCTCGGGAAAGCCAGCGGCGCACGCCGCGGCCCTGGGAGGGCCAGCGGCCGCGCGCGCGGCATCCAGCGTGCCACCTGCAGCAGCCCCGCCGTCGGGTCGGCAGGCAGCGCCACGGGCGCGGGCCGCAGCGGCCCGGCGCTGCCGCCGCCGCCGGAGAGGCAGGCCAGGACGGGGGCCCCCCATTGCCAGCCTGCCCTGGGCAGCGCGGCCGAGGGCCGCGGCGAAGCCGGCTCGGTTCGACTTGAGCCACAGCGGCTTTTGAGCCAGAGAAGCTTGAGCCAGGGGGCTACGCACACACCTACACACACGTACATACATACGTGCATACGTACGTGCAGAACCCCCACACACACAAGCAGATGCATGCATACATGTGTATACCAAGAGGTGCTGAGA